TTGCCTGTGTGTGTGTATGTGTGTGTGTGTGTGTGTGTGTGTGTGTGCGTGTGCGTGTGTGTGTGTGGGAAGCGAGTGCATTTTGTCACCCACTTTCATCTCAGCAACCAGGGAAGCTGGGAGGCTGAAACTTTGGATATATGTTCCTACCCCATGTGTATCCTCCCGTTTTAAGATCTTTCTCCATACGTGCCTAGACTCCGCGTACGGGACCCCCAAAGAAATATGTTGCCGGGAAACGACTTCACGAACCAGGCAACGTAGAAAATTGAAACTTTGCAGGGGTATTCTCTGTGCACGTGCGAGATAAAATTTTAAACTCAGCTCTCTAGCTCCCCAACCGCAGCCTCAAGCAGCTTCTCAACCCAAAAATCGTTGGGAACTCCTGAACCGCACTTGTATATGCAAATGAACATGAATTTTTTTAAAAACGACAGTTCGAGCAATACTTTCAACTTTTCAATGAACTGAAGAGTTGCATATTTTCAAAAAATTCGTTCACAGCTCGGACCTTAACCGCTATCGTATATGTAAATGAACGTGCATTTTTTGACAAACGACCGCTCGAGCAATACTTTCACTTTTTGGTGAACTGGAAATTGGCATTTTTTCAAAAATTTTGCATTTGCCATTTTTTCACAAAGCGATCACTTACCGAAAAAACGACCGGACTTCATGCAAAAAACCGGTAACCATGCACCTGGACGTCCGAGCGGCTCTATAATGCACCATCTTCATCTCAACTGACGCCCTTCCTTTTGCATGTCGGAAAGGATCAAAGCACGGACAATATGAGTCTAAGTGTTAGGCTACAACGTAGGGATCATTCCTACTAATAGTGATCTGCCAGTTTAATGCAAAAACGCACGATCGCACCGGAGAATCTGGTGCGTTCCAGCCTGGGTTTGCATTTGCATACACGCAAAAACGCATAAAATTAGTCTGTGTCTCATCCATAAACAGGGAGTGAAGTGACCCTTGCATCCGCTTAGGAAAATATTTTAACAGTTTTTATGCGCTTTTCCACTGAGAACTATAGAGCTCCTACAGCGAGCAAAAACCCATATTGTGACGACTTCAGTGTTCATGTGTGTATATATGTTTGTATATGTGTGTGTGTGTGTATGTGTGTTTGTGTGTGCGTCTTTCCGAGCATTTCAACTTGGCGACCAGGCAAGCTCGAGCTCCAAAATTTTGCCAGCTGAATCCTCAGTCAATTGTCACCTCATCCGACCATGTGAAAGTTCTGGTGATATAAAGGACATGGGATTCAAAATGAATCCATAAAATATTTAAAAACTAATTGAAAATTGACAAATAGAAAAATATATCATAAAAATTAAAAAATTGTGTAAAAGATCCTAATAGTAAGCTTTTTTGTGAAAGCAATGGAAACCAAATGCTTCGGCGCTATGTTTCGACGTAAGTCAAAACATAGCACAAAAACTCTCTTGAGAAATATCTTCGCGTGGGTCTAAGACTCCGTTCCCGGATCGGGAAGTAGAAAAACCATCGTAACTATAAACACAAGGTGCTGCTTTTGCGCACTATTCTTAGATTTAAGGATGAGAAAATCTCTCCTTCGATGCTAATAGAAACTCCATTGCAGAAGTATATAAGGACTCTTTAGCAGCAGGCAGCATTCGTTTGGACTTTCTGCATCGCCGGCTTCGACATTCGTATTTA